GCCAAAACATGCTCTGCTAAACTTCGAGCAAAGTTGCTGCTGCATGCATGTGCCTTCACGTGAGGGCTGCAACTCATTTGAAATTCCAAGGGGCAATGCAATTATCAGTTGAATAGTGAGGTCCAACTTACTATTCAGGTTTTGCCGTAATAATACCAGTTTAATAAACCATGGTTTATGAAACTGCCACCCCAAACTTCATACAAAGTCATACCATGATTTGAAGTTCAAGACTAAGTCGGTTTCCTGTTTTAGATGCCACAGGAAGCTGTGGTTTAAAACATTCATGATTATAGATGTGTTGAAACTGGTATGCAAGAGGATGGGCAAGCACAAAGATTTTCCCTGGCTTAATGAACTATGTTCTTTTGAAGTGGGATTACTATGTACAAATTGAACGAGTGAGATATCATCACTGTTAGGGGACCATTGCGCAGCCTCCTTCACCTGATCATTTGTGGAAATTTTTTAGGAGGTTGTACATGCAAACGGGTGTATTATATTAATTTGCAAGTGCCACTACACAATGTTGTCATCTGTATATATTAAAATAATATCTGCTGCAATGTATAGAATTTCTGGAGTAAAATCCACATAGGATTCCAGCTATGGGTGCAGTTTTGTTTGTCTACAGAATAGATTGTGGAGGGTGGGGGAATGGCTAGAAAGGTAAATATATCATGCTATGTATACTATACTTAGTATGGTTTCCTGTAAAGGCGGCATGCCTTAAATACCTACATGCCCTAATTATTATCTGGCGATCAAGTCTGCCATATGCTTCTTGTTTAACCTCCCCGGGGTGGATGGGTGATGTTGGGAGAAAGTTCCAAATGTATGTGTACCTTTCTGTACTGGGCCTTTGGAAAAAAAGATTCTGCTCAGTGCTAGTTTTGAAAAACAATTTCACAGCAGCTCCTGGAAGGTTCAGATGAAACAGGAAACCTTGCAAAGCCATAATCTTCCCATGATACCATTATCTGATAGCAGCTGTTCTACGTAGGGGGTTAATGTAAAGCACCAATTGATTGAAAAGCCTTTACTGAGGATGCTGCTGCACTCGTTCTTGTTTGAGCTTCCCATAGATGTCATTAAACAGAATGCCGGATCACAGCGTGCTCATCTAGCACATCTTTGTTTCATGTTCTGATGCTCTTAAATATATGTCATGGTCTATTGTTATGTGCCATCAAGTCACCCCCAACTTATGTTGACCCTGTGAAGAAGTGATGTCCAAAATGTCCTGTCCTCAACAGGTCTAGATAGAGTAAAAGAAATGTTTCAGCCGCATGTGCTTATTCCTTTTCCCATCTTTCACCAAAATCAAATTCTAAGATGATCTGGCTAATCTGCCAGAGCTGCCGCAGCCCATATAACTGTGGAATGATTTTGCTCTCGCCATTGCCTGCAACACTGGAGCCAAGTGTCTGGAAGCACATGGAGTTTGCAACGGCATCCCAACACTTGTGTACTGTCACAGGGATCCAGCTTCTGGATTAACCAGCAGAGAAAGGTAAGGGGGGTGATGGAGGGAGAAGAAAGACATTCAGCATGCCCACTACCAGAACAACAAAGGAAAAGCCCTTGTTAAGTGTCTGTTGGAGATTAAGGCAGGACAGCTTCAGATTATGGGCTTCAGCATCAATTAATTAATTTCTCTAGGTCCAAAGCATGCATCTCCAGATGTTCTTGGACTACAACTCCCAGAAATCCTGGACAGCACAGCTAGTGGTGAAGGCTTCTGGGAGTTTAAGTCTAAGAACCCCTGGGGATCCAATGTAGGGAAGCACTGGGCTTGGTGATGCCCACTCTCCTGTGGTTTTCCTGTCATCAGTTACTGATTCTTCTTCTTCTGCAATCCCTTCTATTTAATCTTTAAGTATGAATTCTTACATGGCCACAAAGGGAACCCTGCATGCCCCAGAGCGAAGCTGGGCACTTGGTGGCTCTCCAGATGTTGTGCAGTTCCAGTTCCCATCAATCCAACCTAGCCAGATCCCTGGTAGGAGATGAGAGAAGTAGTCAATAAATTAAATGAGAGAGGATATAAATTCCTCAACCCGGCGCATGAAAAAAGTATTTGCAAGTTGGAATAAATGTGGATATTTGCAGTAGCTAAAATTCAAATTAGGAAAACCTACATTGAGGAAAATTGAGGAAAATCTAAATTGAGAGACACACTGAAAATGATGCAAGTAAAAACGATCTGAGTAGACATGAGTAGAATGCTATTTGGGGAAGGAAGTTTTCAGGGAAGTAATGGAGCATTCTGGAAAAGAGCATGACAGGCTGAGCGGCCTGAATCAGAACAAAATGCTAAACGTACATCATAGCTAACCCGTCATTGGACAAGGAAATTCTTCACATGCTGAAAAAAGGTGACTGGCACAGCAGGAACCAGAGTTTTTAATACCTCCCAGTATACAAATTAGTTTGGTTTAATTTGTGGGAGGTATTTGTTTGCAAGTATAAATTGTTCAGTCATGAAGATCTGCTCAAATCACATTGCTGGAACAAAAATGGATTTCAGTTTCAAATGATGGGCTATTGTAATACAAGATTTTGCCCTTTGCAAGTCACAGTGGCTGTTTTTAAGACTTTTGTCCAGGGGTTTGTCTAATCTGGAATTTTTTCACAACTCTTCCAGATGGAGCATTTGTGCCACTTTAACTATAGCTCCACAGTCAGATACCTAAACCACTGAGTTATCCAGCCAGCTACACAGTACATAATTATTATTAATCTCAACAGGCTGGCAAGAAGTCTCAGCGGTTGTTCTGTCCCCTCCACAAATCCCAGCCTCTTAAGAAGGAAGAGGAGACATTTGTCAGTGCCTATGGACCACAATAAGTGAGTAGAAGTTGCAGATCTCTGATGCTGGATAGCTGCTTCCCCTCCATGTCCTCTGCAATAACTGAGTCTCCTTACTGGAGACATCTGGCCCTTCTCTGTGTGTCAGGAGGCAGACAACCCTATCACATCTCATGGCCATAATGAAGACACAAGTCCTGGCAACTCCTTTGATGTGATCTCTTAGCATCTTTTGACCAAAAGGGGGAAGAAAAAAAAAAGAAAACAAAGAACATTTAATTCCTGCTCTACTCAGTAGGTTTCACACTACTGTGCCAAAAGCACGAAAGTAAAAAGTCCTTTTAGTGCCAGTGGAATGCATGAATCTATGTTATGAAAAGTCCACATAGTCAAAGCTATGGTTTTTCCTGTAGCGATGTATGGAAGTGAGAGCTGGACCATAAAGAAGGCTGACCACCAAAGAACTGATGCCTTTGAATTGTGGTGCTGGAGGAGACTCTTGAGAGTCCCCTGGACTGCAAAGAGAGCAGACCTATCCATTTTGAAGGAAAATCAACCGTGAGTCCTCACTGGAAGAACAGATCCTGAAGCTGAGGCTCCAATACTTTAGCCATCTCATGAGAAGAGACGACTCCCTGGAAAAGACCCTGATGTTGGGAAAGTGTGAAAGCAAGAGGAAAAGGGGATGACAGAGGATGAGATGGTTGGACAGCGTCATTGAAGCTGCCAACATTAATTTGTCCCAACTTTGGAAGGCAGCGGAAGACAGGAGGCCCTGGCGTGCTCTGGTCCATGGGGTCACGAAGAGTTGGACACGACTTAACGACTAAAACAACAACACACTATGAAACTAAAGCACACTATGTGAAGATCAACATAGACCTCAATGGATGACTAGGGCATTTTAAAAGCCAATTATGATTGCTAACGCTGTTATTACAAAGGTGCCTCAGCTCACCCAACATCACAACTTTTTATATTTTGACATACCTTGTAAAGATTTTTTTTTTAATGTCATGGGAGGGAAAGTGTATGGGGCTATAGTTCTTTCATAGGTTTGACACCTCCGAGAAACTGAACGATGCTATGCAACTATGTTATGCTATGATTGTCTATGCAATGAAGGAAAAACTAGTAATGACAAATTTCACCGTTCATGAAGCTTTCGGGGGGGGGGAGGAAAACACAGGTGCTGTGCAGAATGTGCTTCACCTGCCATCTCTGAGGTATGTTGATGCAGGAAAACTGAACACAGTGTATCTGACAGTAGTTTAAGAAGATGATAGAGACAGAGAGCAAACGGGTGGGTGAGCGGATGGTGTAGGAAGGGTTACTAGGATACAGACTTTACCCTTTCACTTTGTGAGTCTTCATGTAATGAGGTGTGTGCAACTGTGCCTTGTAAAAAGGAAAGAGGTATGTTGTTCGGCACATAAAAGGCATATGTACATTGTCATATATTATAATCACATGTGAATTAACTTCGGAACAATGCTATGGGATGTATCTATGCACGCACTACCTACCCCAAACCAATGCTGACAGTGAAATACACATCCTTATAGGTTCCTTGGTTTCTTTCTTTCTTTAAAAAAATCCAGATTAGATTTACTAAGGCAACTTCCACAAGGGCATACAAGCTTTTGGAACTGCTTTCTTCATCTGACATTACAAAATTAATCAGGGCAGAGGGAAAGGCTTGATCTTGGGTGATGCAGGACTTGTGAACCACCAAGCTTGCACTCCCCCCACTTTGCCTTGACCTATAAAGATATATAGGTCCCCGCCCCGAGTAGACATGGTATAGAGGGGCGGGGTAAAAATCCAATAAATAAATAAAAATAAATAAATAAATAAATATACTATAGAAACAAAACTGAACTGATCTGGGGCTATCCCAGTTTGGTCACATCAGGAGAAGGCAAAAATCATTGGGGAAGACAATAATGCTAGGAAAGATTCAAGACAGGAAGAACGGAGGAAGACCAATCATAAAATGGATTTACTTTCTAAAGTGAGGCATGACCTGAAATTTGCAAGTCCCCAGGAGAACCTATTAAGGGCAGGGCCTTTTGGACCTCAGAAATTCATAGAGTTGGAAGTGACCTGAGGGATCATAAGGTCAAGATAAAGTCAAGGTGTGTGTGTGTGTGGGTTTTGGACTTTCGCCCGGTTTCCTTCCCACTCACCTATAGTGGAGACCACGGTGCTCACGAAATAAAAAGCGCCGGGGAAATCCCACCGCGGGCGCAGGTCATTCGCCCGAATGCCGGCCACGTAGGCCACCTCGTACTCGCAGAGGAATTCCCGCAGCTCGGCCGGGCTGAGGTTGTACCTCCGGGAGAAGTTGTCCAGCCTCGCCTGCCACTTCTGCTGCGCTTCCCGCTCGGTGGGCTGCTCGATGGCGGAGAAGACGGCCGCGCCGCAGAGCATGTACAGGAGGATCAGGGCGGCCAAGAGCAGGAAGCGCGCGTTGTCCTCGTTGAAGGCGCCCAGGCTGGAGGAGGAGGAAGATGATGAGGAAGAGGAGGAAGAGGAGGAGGAGGCGCAGCAGCAGCAGCAGCAGCAACCGAGTCCGCAGCCCGCCATCCTCTGCCGCCCGCCGGAGCCGCTCTTCTAGCGGGGCGCTTCGCGACCGGGCATGCTTCGCGCGGGCGCCCCGAGGGCGCGCCAGGCGGCAAACCGAACTCGAGCCGGAGCCAGGAGCAGCTCGCCCCGGCCGG